TAAGACAATGGTGTCACAAGAGTAAAAAACTACAGACCAATACCCTTAAATATAGAGACTCAAAAATTCTCAACATAATCCAGCAACATATAAAAGGATTATATGCCATGAGCAAGTAGAATTTATTCCATGAATACAAGTTGCTAAATATCTGAAAATCAATTAACATAATAAACCTTATTAATAGAGTAAAGAACAAAAAGCACATGGTTATCTCAATAGCTGCAGAAAAAGCATTTGACAAAAATCCATTACTGTTTCATAATAAAAACATTCAACAAACTAGAAATAGAAGGAAACTTTCTCAGCTGGATAAAGGTCATCTTCAAAAACTCCGTCACTAACGTAGTACTCAATGGTGACAGACTAAATGCTTTCCCCTGCGATCAGGAACAAGACAAGGATGTCTGCTCTTGTCACTTCTATTTAACATTGTACGAGAGGCATTAGCCAACCATTTTAAACAAGAAAAAGAAACAAAAAGTTTCTGGTTGGAGAGAAGGAAGTAAAACTCTTTATAGTTGCAGATGACGTGATATTGTATATAGATCATGGTAAAGTATCTATTAAAAAACTGTTGTAACTAATAAATTAGTTCAGCAAGTTGGCGACATATAAGATCCACACACACAAAATGTTTGTATTTCTGCGTACTAGCATTTGAAAATGAAATTATGAAAACAATTCCATTGACAAAGGCATGGAAAGAATAAAATACTTAAGGATAATTTCAATAAAAGAAGTTTGAGACTTGCACACTGGAAATTGCAACATTATGGAAAGAAATTCAAGAAGATCTAAATAAGAGGAAAGATACCGCATATTCCTAGATTAGAAACACTCAGTATTGTTAAAATGAAATACTCCCCCTGTTTGTGTACAGAGTCAAAGCAAATAAACCCCTGTGAATATCTTAGCTTGCTTTTTTTCAGAAATTGACAAACTGATCCTAAAATTCACACGGAAATGTGAGGGACCCTGAATAGCCAAAACAATCTTGGAAAAGAGGAACAAATTTGGGAGGGCTCAGACTTCTTGGTTTCAAAACTTACTACTAATCTACAGTATTCAAAACAGTGTGGCAATGGGGATGAGAACAGATAAACGGATCAATGGAATAGAGTTGCAAGTTCAGAAATAAACTCATTTATGGTTTGTTAATTTTTGACAAAGATGTCAAGCCAATTTGATTCAACAAATGGAATGTACTGAAACATCAAATTGTACCCTAGTGCCCATTTGTTGAACAAATGCTGTGACTACTGGACGTCCACGTGTCAAATAGTTAAGTTAGATCCCACCTTCTACCACACACAAAGATTACCTCAAAATTGATCGTAGATCTAAATCGATCTAAGAGCTAAAATTATAAAACTCTTAAAAACATATAAGAATGAATCTTCATGATCTTTGGCTAGGCAATGATTTCTTAGATTTGACCACAAAAAAAAAAAAAAAAAAACAAGCAACAAAAGAAAAAAAAGATAAATTAGACTTCGCCAAAATTAAATCTTTGTGCTTTAAAGGACACTGTCAAGAGAGTGAAAAGGGAACCCGCAAAACGGGAGAAAATATTTGCAAAGCGTATATCTGATAAGGGCCTCGTACCCGGGATATATTAGCAACTCTTACAACTCAAAATAAAAGGACAAATAACACCATTAAAAAACAGACAAAGCATCTTGAATAGACGCTTCTCAAAGAAGATACTTAAAGACCAATAATTACGTAACAAGATGCTTAACACCAGTCATTTGGGAGATGCAAATGACAACCGCAATGGACGAATGACTATAATAAAAAAGATTAACAGCTGCAAGTGTCTGCAAGGAGGTGCGGAAACTGCTGGCATGAATATAAAATGGTACAGCCCCGTGGCAGCTCCTCAAGAAGTTGAACACAGAGTTGCCGTAAGACCCAGCAATTCCACCCCTCGGTATAAACCCGAGCGAAATGAGGACCGCCGTCTATGCAAAAACGTGTGCACGAATGTTCATAGCGGCATGATTCACTACAGGCACAGAGTAGAAGCATCCTCTGAAGTCTGTCAATGGATGATGGATAAACACAACGTGTTTTTGCCGTACAGTGGAATATTATGCAGCCGGGAAGGAAGTGAAATAAAGATGCTTGCTACGACATGAATGAACCTCAGAAATACCGTGCTGAGTGAGCAAAGTCACAGAAGACCACGTATTATGTGAGTCCATTTGTATGAAATGCCCAGAACAGGAACATTTATAAAGATAGAAAGTAGCTTAGTGGCTGCTTGGGGAAGGGGACGGGAGGTGGGGAGTGACTGCTCGTGGGTACTGGGTTGGGTTTATTTTTTGGGTGATGAAAATGTGAACTTAGATTGTGGAGAACTTAGATTATGAATACACAAAAAACCATTTAGCTGTACACTTTGAATTGATGAATTTTATAGTATACGAATTATATCTCGATAAAGGTATTTAAGAAAACTAAAAGAAGAAAACCCACTTAGGGCTGATGGGAGAGAGGCCCAGGACACATTGTGTGACCTCCTGGGTGTGGGGTCCACTATGACTTTATTTTGGGGGATGGGTTCCCCGGGCTCAAGCCCTGAATCTGGAGTGGAGAAGGGAGCTCTTGGACCCGCCACGGCCCTGCTGCTACGACTTGGGGGCGTCTCCTCACGGCAGGGCCCTGTGGCAGCAGGGATGTGGTACACTCGTAACGACTTTGATTTGCCGTCTGACGACCGCTTCCCCGTGTCTTGTTGAGTCGCTGCTGTAATCCCCCCCGTAATGGGGCACCTGAACCAGGGTGTGGAGGGGCTTGGCCGAGGTCCCTCGGCGTGGCTGTGGTGGGTCGCATGGCCCCAGCCTGGTGCTCTTCCTCCATGCAGCCGCTCCCTTCTGTGTCTGCAACGTTCTGCTCTGCTTTCTGCCGAGCGTGAGGCGGGCCGAGACAGGTCGGTCCTCTGGTCTTCGTTTTTCAGCGAGGAATGTGCTGTGCTGGGACACCGGTGGGTGAGGCTGTGCACATGTGGTGCTCATTTGCTTGCAAGGAGGTGCCACTTTCCTGCTGGCCGCTGACGGTGAGGGTTCGGGTCTATTTAATAATCTCATTCCAGCCTTTTTATGTTGGATAGCAGTGAGAGTGTTTGAGAGCTTTGCTTCGCCAACCTAGCTAAGATCGTCGTCGTCCTCTAATGCCACGCGCCAGCAGACTCTCCCTGAGCTGACGACATCACCAGGAGGCCCAGATGTGTCAGAATCACCTGCACATCATCACCTGGAGCGCCCAATGCACCCTCACCTCCAAGACACATCGTGCCACAAACGACGCTCTAGCACCTGGGCTTGCAGATGTGTTTATTAAACAGGATCTGACAGCTTGACACCACACTTTCAGGTCTGCTTCCTGTGACCTGGCCATCCGGCGCTGCTGGCTCGGGCTCCGAGGACAGAGCTGCTCCGAAGCTCAGGCACATTCTGTCCCCCAAGGCTGTCCCCATTCATGACGGCACCTGTGGCCGTCACATTCCCCTTCTCCTGGCTCCTCCAGCCCGTCGGGAATGGGGTGTGACGCCCACCCACCCACACCAGTGTTGTTCACTCTTCTCTGACCGTGAGCTGCCATATCCTGAGGTCCTGCCTCAGTGGCAGCTACAGAACAGCTCCATAGCTGTCACCATTGAGGGCCTGTGGGGATGTGTTTGTTGGCCATTTGTCATTTGATTTGAGAGAAGAGCTGGGTTCCTGCGGGACGAGCCCTGCTTGTCGAGAACACCTGCTGAATTTAGGCACCAGACCGATGCCAACTTCTGGTTGGCTGTTATTTCCATAACCTTCGCAAAATGGCCTGTAAGGGACATTGAAAAGTGTCCAGGACAGATACAAGTGTCTCATCTAAACTGTGGAGCGTGGTCTAAGCTCCTTCCAGAGAGCGCAGGCGGCAGCTCGCTCGGCCCGGGAGCGGCGGGACTCTTCCGTCCGGTCGCCCAGCGCCGCACTGGCCCGGGAGGAAGTGTCTGCTCCTCCTGGCAACAGTCTTACAGACCAAGGGCACTTTCTAGAAGTAAAAACTATATTGCAAATCCTTTCAAAGGCATACGTGATTCAAATTTCTTTGTTCTTTCTGGGTTAACTGTCACTTCTGTAGCCCCATGGTGGAGAACCTGCCTTCCTGCCCACTTTCCTCCTGCCTGCCCTTCTTCCTGCCTCTGCCCCTCCTTCCCATTTTGAACAAACTTTTATAATATTTACCAAATATTCTGTTACCAGGTGCTTATGTGTGGCAGGGCGCCTTCTCTGTGGTGGATGACCCTCCAGGTCACCGCCCCTGGTCCTGCACACGGTGGGCACCCACTGCCTTCACTGCCCTGGCATTCGGGGCTGAAGATCGTCATAGGCATTCAGTTTGCATCATCTACTTGGCATCTGGGACAGGCCCATGTGGCGTGGACACAGGGAGCCCCCAGCCACGCTTTCCCCTTTCCCCGCCGTGAGCACAGAGTGGCATTGTTTCCCTGAGCAGCCCTGAAACTCCTGCATGCCAGCCCCAGCCCCAGAGCACGCAGGGAATGTGGCCTGCTGCCCGGCCGCTCCCTCCCCCGCTACCCCACGTAGTCTCCCCGGGTCCGAGTCCAGCCTTCGAGAGGCTTCAGCTGCCCCCGCAGCCCTGGGCCTTTGGAGCTGGGTTGTTGCCTCAGAGACGGGTGGACCACAGGGGCCTCGCTGAGTGCCGGGCCCTGGGTCAGGAGTGAGGCTCTTCTCCCTTCTGGGGCTGAAGCGGCGGCACCTGCAGCCTGTGTGAAGTGGGAGTGATGGTCTTTTGGGGAAGGTACAAGGATTTCCCCGCCCGTGGCCAGGAGCGGGCAGCCTGAGCTGGTGGCGCTGTCTGTGCCTCCCTCTGCCAACTGCTGGCCTGTCACAGCTCCTGATGGCCCAGCCGCCTCGGGATGTCTGGTCACCCCATCAGGACCCGACCTGCAGAGACCCTGAGCTCCCCGGAGGGCCCGAGGACATCAGGAATCTCCAGGCAGGATCACCGGTCTCTGCAGACCCCTCAGCAAGCGTCCCCCGCCGGAGCCCGCAGCTCAGAACAGGCCGGTGGCCGTGAGAGAAGACAGGAGGAGCGGGGCCCGGGCGGGAGGGATGATGGGGGTGGTGTCGGAGGCGGCCTCCTCTGCCTCGCCGTCCCCCTCGTCCGGGCCTTCGGAGAGGGACGGGACGATTCGGACCACGTTGTCTTCAAAGTGCACCTGCTTCTTCTTGGCCAGGGGGTCGGCCGGCTGCAGACTCAGCTCCATCAGGGCGTCCGGGGGCGGGCGGGCGGCAGGCTTCTTGGCCCCCTTCAGGATGCTCTTCATGTGGATGAAGAGGGAGCTGGGCCCCTCCTTGAGGGCCCCGTGGAAGGTGTAGGTTTGCTCGGTGTCGCCGGAGCCGGTGGTACTCACGGCGCTGCCGGAGGGGTCGGTGTACTGCTCCGGGGGGGCTGGCGCCTCGGGCCCAGCTTTGCTCCTCCTCCGCTTGCTCAGCAGGAAGTAGGCCAGGCCGGTGGCGACGAGCATGGAGCCTGCAAGGGAGCCGGGGTCAGGATGCCGGACGTGCTGCGGAGGACGCGAGGGGCCGTCTGGCCCGTTGTGCCCCCGTGTCCCGGCGCTGTGCGGTCGTGCTCCCTGGCCCCGTGGCTCTGGCCCTCACACCTTGCGTGTCCTTACACCCCATGGCAAACTGGGGGGCCAGGCCTGACCCTGGTGGAGGGATGTGAGTAGGGCCAGTGCCGTGCAGCCAGGGAGCCCCCCGTTCGGAAATCAAGGGAAGGCTCCATCTGGGCCTCAAGACCTTCTTCTGACCCCTCAGCCCTCAGCCTTCTTGTTGACCGTCCACCTGGACTCCTGTCACCAGGCTCAGCCTCCGTCTCGGGACAGCGCTTTGGGCTAGACCCATGCTGCCCTCAGCAGTCGGGACGCTACTGGATACCGGGCTCTGACTGCTGACCTGGCTCCCTTTCACTCCCAGAAACGGGGCGGGGGGCTCCCTTCTCATTTCAGCCTCCCCAGCTCTCGGCCAGTAAACTCAGAGGAAAACGCGTGTCTCTTTGGGAGGGGAGGGTGTTGTGTGGGGCTCCCTCCTGGCCCCCCACGGCCACAGAGGACGCTGCGGTCTCCAGCCTGAGACCCGAGCTCTGCTGGGAGCACAGCCCCGTCCAGAGCAGGTGGAGAAGGTGGCTGTGAGCGCCTGCCGGGGCCAGAGCCTCCCGGGTGTGTGGCTGTCTGAGCAGCGGGGGCCTCGCCGTGCTCTGGCGGGTCAGTGCCGAGTCCTCCTCGGGAGTCAGGACAGGGACGCTGGGAGACCGCAGGAAGGATGCAGCTCCCTGGAGGGTTGGCTCCCAGCGTTTCAGACGGGTTCATGATGAGAGGCACAGTTTTTAGAGACAGGAAGGAGGGAACCCGAAGATACTAGCAGAAAAGGTCATGGACAAAACCAAAGAGGTCGGAGCAGTGAATCCCGGGTTCTGCAACCAGAAACCGGGCCGGGCAGCAGGGGACGCCGGGCGGGCTAGAAGCCGGAGACGAGGCCGTGAAGTCTTTTGGGTCCCACCATAGGTGCCCTTCAAGCCTGGCTCAGGAGTTTGGACCTGCATGGGCAGGCACTGGGAAGAGACAGGAGGCTTTGGACAGGGAAGGGACCATCCTGTACCTTCGGACAGCCCGGATCACACGCGGTCAGGGGAGGAAAGGCCGGGTCCCCTTTGCGGGCACAGGCTCTGGACGGCTGTGCGAAGGAAGGATGCACCTCTCCCGACCCTCCTGCGGTCGGTCAGCATGGAGGATGTCGGACAGTTCCTCGCGCTCACACTCCCGGTCAGAGAGGGCCGTGGGGCTGGTGGGGGCTGGGGGCTAGCATCGGAGCAGCAGGACTATGAGGGGCTCAGACCCTCCTGCTCAGAGCCCAGCTGTGGCGGGGGCCGCATGCCTGACTACCCTGCCCCTGCCCTGCCCCATGGTCCTACCTGGGATGGTCACGTGCCAGACCAGGACAGGGTGGAGGAAGCAGGCCACCGACAGCAGCATGTAGGCCAGGAACTTCTGGAAGCAGCCCAGCCAGTGGGCCTTCTCCCTTGCTCTGTCGGCCAGGGACCCTGGCTGACACCTGCCGGGTGGGAGTCCAGGGTGAGCAGGACACAGCCCAGAAGAACACCAGAGACGTGGGAGGCTGGGGACGCGGGGGGCTGGGCCCTGCTCCCTGCTGTGGCGTGCTCTCTGCAGTGGCCGTGGCCGAGCACCCTGCGGGGGCTGGAGTCCTGAAGGACTCCACGGTCAGGGGCCTTGTCTGAGTCCCTCCAGAGGGGCCAGAGTTTTTCTGAAAGACAGTGCAGCCCTGTCTTTCTGGTCAGCAGGGGAGGAAGGTAAATGCTCTCAGGAGGCTACGAGAGCCAGTGAGAAGGAGAGCGGGAGGCTGGGGCTCACCGGGAAGTCCACAGTGAGCAGGGAAGGTGTGCGGTATGGGAGCCGCCCAGCTGGGACAGTCGCGCAGGTAGCGCACTGCAGAAGGGGCCTGGCCAGGGGGGTGAGCAGGCTGGAATCCAGCTGCGCCCTGCTCACGGAGCCTTGCCTAGGCATGGGACAGCACCGCCCTAACTCACGTGGGGACCGCACCTGGCCCTGGCAGAGGCCTCGTGTTGAGCAGGTTTCTTCAGGGGCGCTGCCTCCAGGGTTCAAAGAGGAGAGTGCCTGCCTTTAGATCCATCGTCTTCACCCTCTGACTTGGCCTGGAGCAGAGGCCTTGGGCCCACTAGCTTTAGGGGAGCAGCGGCCGGAGCACCGCCCTCCCACACGCAGGGGCCTGGGCTGCCGTGGCTCACTTGCACCCCCTGGCGGTCGTGTGTGTGTGTGTGTGTGTGTGTGTGTGTGTGTGTGTGTGTGTGTGTGTTGGAGTCCTGAGGAGGTAAAATTCCCCTTTACAGGATTCCTTCCTCCCCTGCCCCAGCCCCCCACCCCATGGAAGTTTCAAGGACCCTTTGGCAGTGACATTCAGCAGAGAAGGGAAAGGCTACTGTCTTGGGGCTGGTGAGCCTGGGAGGCGGCCAGTGGCCTTGCTTTCCAGAACAGCCGGATTTGAGGCCTGGCTGTCTCCGGGGTCCCACCTGGGGACCTGGCCATCTAGGCTCTGAGTTATGAGAGCTCGGGGCCCGCTGCTCCCCTAAAGCTAGCCTGCGCAGGGCCTCTGCTCCAGGCCAAGTCAGAGGGTGAAGACGATGGATCTGAAGGCAGGCACTCTCCTCTTTTGAAAGTGGTGGTCTGTGGCCCCAGCCCTTGGTCCCACGCACGACGGCATCCACAGACCGAGCGTCGGCTGGGCAGCAGAGGGGCCTCTGTGGCCACGTGGCCTCAGGGGGTCCTGCCAAGTCTGCCCTCCTGCCCCCGCAAATGGGGATGGGGGCTTGCAGCCCCTGACTTGCCCCTGGGTCCTAGCAAGAGGCAGAGCCAGTTCCCAAACCCTGCTGTGCTCACTCCAAGCCGGGCCTTGCGCAGGGTCCTCACCCCATGGTGGGTGGCGTGGACACCGGGGCCCAGGGGACGGCTGTTCCTGGGGAGAGGGGAGCTGGACTTTGCTGGGGGGTTCTGGGCAGGAGCAGGCCGTGAGTGAAGGCTCAGCTGGTTGCCTCGGTTGGGAGCAGGACAAAGGAGGTGACTGAGCCTCACGGGCCTGAGCCCGGCTCTAGGCCGGGGCTCACTGTTCCATGGAGGGGGGCCTGCCCACGGTAGCTTCAGGAGCAGGACGCCCCCCGTCATGGCCTCTCGGGCAGAGCGTCTGGGGTGGCGGCGGTGGAGGGGCCTCTCTGGAGGCTACTTACTGGAAGCAGATGGCCAGCAGCTGAGCCACAAAGTAGGCCCCTTCGCACACGGAGACGGCGGCTCCTGTAAAGCTGCAGGTGGAGGCAGGTGAGCGAGGCTGGCACTTCCGACGCCCCATTCGCTCTCCCCAGGGCTGTCTTCTCGCAGCACCTTGGCCTCCTGAGCGTCTACGGCCAGCAGTCTGACCTGGGCTGTTTTGACCTAATCGTGTCACCCAGACCACATTCACCAGGGGCTGTCTGGATGCGGGGGCCTGACCTGGGCCGGGCCACACGCTGGAGGGGGTGAGGGCCAGGGCTCGGAGACAGGCGAGGAGGAAGCCGTGGGCAGCAGCAGGGATGGGCCTCACCCGGCACCCTGTGCGGACACCAGCTGGTGCGTCCTTCTACCTGCTGGCCACGGGACTCACACCCACCGCCTGGGGTTCCAGCATTAAATAGGGACCTGTTCCTTGCTCTTCCTTCTCCCGCTTTTCCCATCGTCCAGTCGCCAGGACCGCTGATCGTACCCCTTCAGTGCCTTTGGAACCACACCCATCCTCTCTGGCCTCACCGGCATTGCCCGGGTTCAGGCCCTGCCCCCGGATGGGGCACCAGCTCCCCTGGGTCTCGCTGACCCCGCCCTGTCTCCCGCTCGTCCACTCTGGCATGCCTGGCCGCCCTCGCTCGTCCACTCTGGCATGCCTGGCCGCCCTCGCACGCCCGAATCCGACCCTGTTCCTCCCGACCCAGAGGGCCTCGAAGCCTCCTCCTGCTCCCAGTGGGGTCTGGAAACCGTCCAATCAGAATCTGCTGGGGAATACGTGACGCAGATTTCTGGGCCACCCCTAGACTTCGTACATCAGAGTCTTTGGGAATGGGGCTTCCATATGTGTTTTTGGAGGCTCTCGCTGGCTTATGACATTTCTCAGCACGCCTTTTAAATCCCTTCATGGACTTCCATATTTCCCCGACCACACGGGAAGTTATCAGGTGCCGCAGCGTCTCTGCACAGGGTCCTGGGGCACAAAGCAGACCCCTGCTCATTTCGGAAGGCCTCCCCTTTCCCTCACAGTCTGCCTGGTGACCTCTTGCTTCCTGCGCTGCACCGCATGGCCGGAGCCGCCGGGCTGTGCTCTCCCTCTGTGTAGCCGGGCCCAGCCTGGGCTCAGTGCTCCATAAATGTGCTTGGCCATGAGCGCACGGGGGTACATGCTGAGGTCCAGGGCAAGGTGGCTCCGTGCCAGGGTTGCCTCGGAGCCACAGGTGTTGCCGTTTACCGGCCAGCTGTGCGGACACGGGCACGAGGCTTGGCCATGCCATGCCTTAGTTGCCTCGTCTGTAAACTGAGGTTGTCCTAGTGCTTCAGCAATAAAATGGTTACAAGAATTGAGTTGATATTTGTAAAGCCCGTGGGACCACGCTTGGTACATAGTGATTATATAAATGCTAGTTGTCATCTCTCTCCCCTCTGTGACCATTTAGTACTTAATCTCAGCTTTCTCTTTCTCTCTCTGTGGGAGAGCGAGAAGTCCAGGCGTAAATGGGTGAGAGGTAAGGCGGGGGCCAGAAATGGCACAGTGTGGACTGGAGGGGGGAGCCGGAGCCGTTGGAAGTTGTTGGAGTGTCCAGACGGCAGGGTGGAAATGGCTCAGAGGGGGCCGTGGCTGGGAGCCACTAAGCACAGCAAAGAACCTGCCCAGGCAGGCAGGGGAGGGAAGGTGGAAGACAGGCAAGCAGAGGAGGGTGTGGGTGGAGCCTGCAGAGGGAGGCAGAGCAGGCAGACCTGGACCAATCATTGCCATCGTCACCCACCACTTCTGGGCTCAGTAACCCTTTCGGCACCTGGGGGGCTGGAACGCTTAGCTTCCTGCATAATCAGGAAGAAACCACTGGCAGCCCCTCAGGATGGGGCTGCAGAGACGCTGGGTCTTTCCTCACCCCCTGGGACACCAGTGATCTCCGTCCCTCCAGGGGTGTTTGCAGAGGCCGCTGGGGGTGGAGAAGAGAGGACCTTGCCTGGGGAATGGCAGGGGCCTGGCTGCAAGTCTGAGCTCTGCTGCTCTGAGCTCCGTGATGTGATGTGGGCTGCCTGCTCCCTCCCTCTGGATTTTCTCCCTGCAAAACCAGGCCAGTGTGCACTTCTCCTGTGGTGATGTGCGTCAAATGGCATAATGTAAATATGACATTTAACTGTGCTTGGCATGTAGAGAAGCTTAAATATGTATTCCCTTGACCTGATTTTCCTCTGTCTAAAACAAGAGCTCAGTTAATATTTGCTGAATAAAGAAACTACTGAGATGCATGGATGTATGGGTGGGTGGGTGAGTGAGTGAGTAGTTGAGTTAATGGATGAATGAATGGATGGATGGGTGGATGGGTGGGTGGGTGAGTGGGTTGGTAAATGGATGGGTGGGTGGATGGATAAGTGGACGGGTGGATGAATGGGTCGGTCGGTGGATTTAAGGACAAATGGTGGGTTTAGGGGATGGTCTGCCCCAATCAGGAGCTATCCTAGAAGCCCCCTTGACTTTTTCCACCTCCGGGACAGGATGGAATAGCCGTGGGGAGGGGGCTGCTCTGGGCTAGACTAGTAGACAGACGGAGGGGGAGCTGGAGCAGAACTCGCGGCAGGGAGTGGCCCGTGCACATACTCACAGCAGATAGAAAGCCAGGCTTCGGAACTGCCCCCGGAGGAAGGTCTCGGTGCCCACGCCGATCAACACTGAGGGCAAGAGGAGAGGGGACAGTGGGCCGGGAGCTCCGCCCCACAGCACTGCCCTGCTGAGGGCTCCTCGGCTGTGGAATGAGCCTCCTCCTTGCGGACTCAGAGCCAGGGTGGATTCTTCTCCTCGTGGCCAAGCAGCTGTGGCTGGGGAGGTGCGAGAGAGCAGGGAGCCTCCTGGATTGGTCCCTGGAAACCCCAAGAAGAGCCCCAGGGGTCATCTGATCCTCCCTCCCAGAGCACAGGTGCCTGTCCTCCTCTGCCACATTGGTCGTGCAGCCACGCCCAGGGTCCCCAGCCCCTTGGTTCCACGGCTGTGCTCCTCCCCGCGCTGTGGCCTGTGCCAGTGTGTGCCCTGTGTCTGGCTGCAGTGCTTGGCCATGGGGACCTGCCCCAGCCTGTTTCCTCGCCCAGGTCACCAGACGTGCCGTTGGCGTGGTCTCCCCCTCACTTGCCGCCGGGGCGGCTGCGGCTCCCACTCTAGGCTCGCTGCTGCGGACCCAGAGCTGGTTGAGCCCTGGGGTCTCACTCCCGCAGGAGATGCTGCTCAGCCTGGGCGACTCCTGCCCTTTCTCGGCGGTTGCTATGGACCTTCCACTTGCCCAGGGTGAAATTAGCCTCAGAATCGCCTTTCCAGACCTGCTGGCTCCGCGTGCTCTCCTCCTAGGGATTCGCTTGTCGGCACAGCTCTGACCCTACCTGGTCACCGATAAAAACGTTCCGTGGACAGCGCCTCAGCCCACTGATAGCCTCTTTCTGTCCCTGACTGATGACACCCCCGGGCACCCCGCATTTCTCTCTCTGGGCTCTGGTGACACACCTGCTGTGTGCTGGACTGTGGCTTCACCCCGACCCCTCCCAGACAGTCCAAGACGGTGGGCAGGGCTGTCACCTCGGCTGCCTGTGTGTGGTCGCAGCTTTGTTGCTGCTGCTGGGGGGTGGAGTGGGGGCTGCTTCCCTGGGCCCTGGCACTTCCGTCTCGGGTGCTCCAAGCTAAGGGGAACCCTTTGTCCCCTGCTGACACGCTGCCTCGATGAAGCCACCCCACCCCGTCCCTTGATGCCAGGGGATTGTGGAAATACTTGGGCAGACGGGAGCAGAGTGCTCCGATCTAGGCATTGGAGGGAGGCGCTTGTTTTCTGAGTGGTGGGTGGGGGTTGTGGTGCTCCCTGTGCGTCAGGGACCACGCCGCCCACCTGCTCCAGGTCCAGCCGCCGTGGCTTGTGTTCGTGAGGGCTGGCTCCCACCTTGCAGAGACTTCAGCGCTCACGTGCGAGGCTCACACGCGTGGCCCTCTCCTCAGCGAGTCCTATCCTCCCATTTTACGGAGGGGGAAAGTGAGGCTCAGTGACCTTGTGTAGCTCACTCACAACCTTGTGTAGGACACGAGCTAGAAAGTGAGGACCCAGAGACTGGGCTGGAGACTTCTGGCTCCAGAGGGTACAGTTTCCTGCTGTCCACTGTCTGCCAATGCAGGTGTGTGAATGTGCGTGTGTGAGTGTGTGTGTGTTAGTGTGGGGTGTGTGTGTGTGAGTGTGGGTGTGAGTGTGTGTGAGTGTGGGTGTGAGTGTGTGTGAATGTGTGTGTGTGTGAGTGTGTGTGTGTGTGTGAGTGCGAGTGTGGGTGTATGAGTGTGTGTGAGTGTGGGTGTGAGTGTGAGTGTATGAGTGTGTGTGTGAGTGTGGGTGTGGGTGTGAGTGTGTGTGAGTGTGGGTGTGTGAGTGTATGAGTGAATGTGAGTGTATGAGTGTGTGTGAGTGTGGGTGTGTGTGTGAGTGTGTGAGTGTGTGTGTGAGTGTGGATGTGTGTGTGAGTGCGAGTGTGGGTGTATGAGTGTGTGTGAGTGTGAGTGTGTGTGAGTGTGGGTGTGTGTGAG